CCATTTTGCGGGTTGTGTCTGGGTACTGTACGCAATACAAATTGCCAAAAAATAGATGTTGTAAGTGACATTCTGGAAATTGTTTTGCCGGATGTGGTAAGATCAAGTTGTAATGATTACATTTATATCATTGATTTTATAAGCCATGTTTGTTATCATTTATACGTATATATTAATTACACACCTCTTTCAGAATTTGGAGGAAATCTATAAACATTTCGTTTGTGAAGTATGTTCCGTGAAATTATTTGCCGATTTTAATTTTAAGTCGATATGTATAAACACGGAAGATATTATTTTTCCTCATATTATTGCCAGTAAAAAGGCACCAGTTGACTTAAAAGAAGTTTATCTAAAGGAGAAGGGAAGTATTCAATTGAATATATCGGAAGATCAGAGAATTTGCCGATTATGTTTTCAATTAATAACATCTGGATTTGTGTCACTAAATGAAGTAGATGTTGACATAATTGATACATATATACCACAAGTTGTAAGTATATTTGAAAATATTTCTCAGGAAATTACATGTCGACGCTTTAGTACGAAAACATGCTATCTCAGATTTCAGTTGGAAAACATGCTATCTCAAATTAAGCTTGGAAAACATGCTAGCTCAGATCTTTAAGTAAAAACATGCTGTCTCAGTGTGACTAGAAATTTAAGTTGACACATAACATTTTTCAATTAATTTTGTTAAGTTATTGTTATAAATGACAAAATTGTTAATTAAAAAAAATAGAATAATATGCAGTTCATTATTCAACGTTTTTTGAAATAACATTATAAAAAAATAGTGTATACCTTAATATATAAAAATGTTTGTTATTATTTACTAAAAATTATTCGATTTTTTTCATACAAGTTAGCTTTGATATCAACCCACCTAACCCCTAGAAACCTACCAAACCGCAAGCAGGCTAACCCACGCAATCCTGGGAACAGCGAATTTAGTTGCTTATTTTTCTTGAAATAATTAAATTCCACACCACAAGCATACTATCTCGCCTACCCCCTAACCCATCGAGCCCCTAGAAACCACCCCTACCAAACTACAAGCAGGCTACCCACCTGACCCTGAGAACAGCGAGTTTAATCGCTTATTTTTTTTTAAATAATTAAATTTCACACCACGAGCGGGATAACCCGCCTACCCCCTAACCCACATAGCCCTTAGAAACCACCCCTACCAAACCACAAGTAATGGTTTGTGGTATCTTGTGGTGCGGAATTTAATTATTTCAAGAAAAATTAGCGACTAAACTTGCTGTTCCTAAGGTTACGTGGCTTAGCTCGCTTCTGGTTTGATAGGTTTCTAGGAGTTAGGTGGGTTTATCTCGTAACCCGTGGAGTTTCGGGTTTTGCACCCATGAAGACATTTGTTGAGGACGTCGAGATACATAACACATAAAAAACTCTTTAACCGGGAGCCTTTTCCCATAAGGTTTGTGCGGAGTCCTTTCTGAGTATAATAGGGAATTAAATTATTTGTATGGAAGCTTCAAAATTATGAAAATTCATTAAATTAATATTGGTCATTTTGGCATATTTTATGTTGCTAACATGCTGATACCAGCGATTAATAGCAGGAATTAGTGTCGTTAAGTGTAAATATACAGGGTGTTTTTTTAATGGAGTAGCATAAATGATACCAGTGAATCTACTTTTCAAAAGAAAACGATCTGCAAAAAATCGCCTTAGTAAAATGTTCACCCCTGAAGAGATATGGGCCATCAAAGTTTCCAAAAAAATTATGAAAATTTGCTGTAATTTGAAAACCGAACGAGGTACAAATAACAAATTTTTTACAGGTTGTTTACTAATACAGATGCGAGTTTTCAACTATTTTTCGAAAATTTTAACCCCTCGAAAGGGGTTGAAATAACCACCCCTCAAGCCATTTTTTGCCATAACTTTTATATTTCGTAAAAACTCGATATCCAAAAATACGCATTAGATAAACTGGTTCTTTTAGAAACTTTTACCTCTCTAGCAATTTTCCTTTAAAACTTTTCGTTTATTAATAAAAAAATAAAATGTATTACCATTCACCTCACACCGTATACGATAGCAATTAATCAAAGAAAAACTAAGTGTGCTGCTGTCATGCCAGTTGTCACAATTAACTCTTCTGTAAGTTGTCACTGTTATCAGCTACATACTTTTTGGGTGTAAATTAACAAGAATTATGCCAAATTTTACTAATTACACCCTGTATAATACATTGGATTTAATTGCAATGAAACACCAAGACAAATATTTTACTATTCGTAATCACGAATTCTAATCTGAAATTATGTTGCTAGAAAAATAGTTGTAATGCAACCTGTTTTTCTTTAGTTTCTTACAAAATAAAACAATAGGAATTCTGCCAGAAATAGTACTACTTAATATATTTTTATTGCAGAATATCAGTGCTACCAGTCATCCTGTTATATGCGGACCGTGTTTTGATTCACTTCGTACTCATGGCAGTTTTTTAGGAAACTGTCTTGATGCACAAGAAAGATATAAAAGTATTGATAAACAATCTTATATTAAGACTAAAGAAAATGAAATAAACCTAGAAGACGATTATCAGAATGTGCAGCAAAAATGTAATAGTGCTGATAAGTCTTTTTATATTAAATCTGAAGAGATTGAAATCAAGGTAGAGGAAGATGGTGAGAATAGGTAAGAAAGTGTCAATAAAATTTTGTAATTTTAAAACTTGCACTAATGCTTACTCTTTTCATGGTTTAAAAGCAATCTATCCTTAACCCTTTCGCTGCGCAATACGTCTGAACGTAGCTACCGCGCCGTGCGCGATTGTTTATCGCGTGCGAATATATACGTCTGGAGAAGTTAGACCACTTATAGTTTTACATTATGTTGTGTTAAATTAGGATTTACGATAAATTTTACGATTTTATTTTGAATAAAATACAGTATATGTACTAAATAGAAACTGAAAGAAACATGAACAATCTTGGTACTATTACCAGTACCTCTTTCCATAAAAATATTTGTCACAATCGGTATAAGCTCGCCCGCAAAAATTCGCCTTACCAATTGTAATAACCGAGTCACTATGCGCACGGTTGCGAATATATACGGTTTGAGCAGCCTGATCCAATTTAACTATTCATGCGAATGTATCCGTCTGGAGCAGTTTGAGCCCTATAAATTTTTAGCGAATATATACGTCTAGAGCAGTGAAAGGGTTAAAATAGTGAAAATATAAAGTTTGAAAGAAACGTCTGTCACATTTTGATTTGTTAATTTCATTTAAATTTTTTCAGTGGTTCATCTTCATACGACTTAGATAATGAAGCAATTGAAAACAAGCAAAGATATCCTTCTGAAGACATAGGAGTGGTAACGAGTGAACATATGCTTAAATGTGAGCCTGGACTTAATGAAAACTTTACAGCGACGATGTCAGTTCATAACATTCAAATATGCAACAGTGAAAAACCCGAATTTCAAAAGAATGATAAACTTAAATATGGGACTAGTAATGTGCAACATAAAAATCCTTCAAAAATCCAAATGTATAAGTGTGATGGGTGTGATCATACAACTAAATATAGTTGGACTCTACAAGTGCATCAGTGCAGTGTGCAATTGCACAAAGACTCTATAGAAGAGCAAATGTTAATGTACTACAACTCTTTGGGAATCCAGATGTGGAAGTGTGATATTTGTAGTTTTGAAACTAGATATAAGAAAACTCTAAAAGCGCATATCTTATGGCACAATGGTGGTTCAGACAGCCCAATGTACAAGTGTGATGCTTGCAGTTTTGAAACTAGTCATAAGAGGTATCTAAGCATACACCAGTTAAAGCACAAAGACTCTTCAGAAGTCCAAATGTATAAGTGTGATATGTGTAATTTTGAAACTAAATATAAGAATGATGTAAGAAGACATCAGTTGTTGCACAAAGACCCTTCGGAACTTCAGATGTATCAGTGTGATACGTGTAGTTTTCAGACTAAACATAAGCGTAATCTAAAATTACATCAGTTACGACACAAATGCCCTTTGGAAATCCAAATGTACAAATGTAATATGTGTACTTACGAAACTAAATATAAGTATGTTCTGAAAAGGCATCGATCAATTGATCACAACCCTTTGGGAATACAAATGTGGAAGTGTAATATGTGTAGTTACGAAACTAAATATAAAAGAAGTCTAAAGGTGCATCTTTTACTGCACAAAAACATCCAAATGTACAAGTGTGATACTTGTACTTACGAAACTAAATTTAAGATTCGTCTAAAAATGCATAAGTTATGGCACAAAGGCCTTTTGGAAAACCAAATGCACAAGTGTGATACATGTGGTTATGAAGCTGACTGTAAGAATAGTCTAAATTCGCATCAATTAGTACACAAAGACACATCGGAAATCAAAATGTACAAATGTGATGTTTGTCCTTACGAAAGTAAACACAGGAGATATTTGAAAGGTCATCAGTTAATTCACAAAGACAATTCAAAAGTCCAAATGTATAAGTGTGACGCTTGCAGTTATGAAACTAAACGTAAGGCGTATCTAAAATTACATCAGTTAATACACAAAGACCTTTCGTAAATTCGTTTATTTTATATCGTGATCAACTTGCTAGAACAAGAACAATGAATGGTCATTGGTAAATTTTAATAACTGATTTTTTTACCGATGATGTGCAGTCAATCATTTAATGCTCTTTGATACCAAAAACATATGTACGCAAAAAATATCTAACCCCAGAGAAGATTCTTAATATTTATCAATACTATAATCAGTTGTATAATTTCTAATTCTTATTTTAAATAGTTATTATGTATATAGTGTGGCTCAATGTCAAAGGACGATTAATTGAGTAATTCAGTTAAAATAAAATTTTAGTATTGTTTCGGCGAATAGTGGACTATAAAAATTAAATGAACTAACAAAAAAAAAATAGGATTCACCTATCTGGAAACTGTTGGTTTAAAATGTCTTTTGCAACTTGTGGAACCACATCGTATTCAAAAATTTCACCTGGCAATCCCTGCAATAATTATTGCATTAAGTCGTCTCTTAAAAACATGGCATAACTTTCTCCAGTAAGGTTCCATTCGAAAAAAAATCGACCAACTACAGTCATATTTATTAACCGCCCCACACATTTATTGTCCATTTATGTTGACTACTTATTCCAAATAGGTGAGGATTTATGTTAGAATAGTAATGAAAATTGTGTTAATTTACAAAACCGTTCTTGTGAAAAGTTGCTTCATCTTAAAATAATACGTTGATGAAAAAATCAGGAACTTCTCGCAATTTTTGAGAATTTTGGTATGGACGAAATTTGTGTTTCTTAATAATATGCCTAATAAATGTCTCACTAATATTTGTCTATTATTTACAGAAACACTAGTAGCAATAAGGATTTTCCCAAGTCTGTTTTCGGATTTATGAGCTGCTACTAGGAAAACGACCTATCTAAACGCCCATAAAGCCTATATTATTTTGCTAAATTAACTAAATATTTTATAATACTAATTAAACAATTAATACTAATTTTAAAATTACAATGTGTGGACGCAACAAATACGATAATTATAGATACCTATATAATTTTTAATTTTTATTTTAAATTATTAACTGTGTACGTAAATGTTACTAATACAATTCAGTAGTAGTACAGCATAAATAAATACGGCAGTGAATCTCTCGGGCGACACCACAAAATAGAAAAAAAAGGCGGCACCTTTGATCTTTTGTCTCGGTGTCCTCCATCTTGCTGGACTAACCTCCAGGGCCCGACTCGCTAATTTAGTACACCTGAACAGAGCCGTCTTTGAAAAAAATTGTAAAAACTACCGGTAATATTGCAGTTTGACTACTTCTCGATTTTTGCATGTTTTTCTTTCGGTAGTGTTAATAGAGACTATAGGTATTTGTTTTGTGGTGAAGAAATGTTGTACAATTGCGAGTAATAATGAAACTATAATACGGGACATTAGAGCAAATGGGGGTGCTGGGGTAGGCAAAGATATAATATGTAATATAAAAACGTAAATTTCTACCACCTACAAATTGCTTTTTGGTAATTAATTTAAATTCAGTAGCAAGTGATTCACTGCCTCTGTTGTAGGATGTTTTTTTTACATGAAAATTTTTAAATTTATCTTCAATTTTCACTGTGAAACACTAGAAGGATGTTAGACATCTCATCATTTCATTCAGTTATTTTGTCAATTCTTAAAGCTAATAATTTTACTCATTTATACAACTTGCAACTTTTTCAAAAAATATATGTTATATTCTAAATTAGCTACATCAGTAAATAAAATACTTTATTTTTTATTTATTGATACAAAGTTTTCAATTACAATAGTAAATATTTTCAAGTACCATGAATAAATTCATTTACAAAAATTAAAACTTAAAGTATATAATGAAGTATGTGTGAATTGAATAGGAGTTGGATTAATAGAATTTCCTGATTGCTGCCTAATACTTCCAAAAAAGTTTCCCAAACTATCTTGATTAACTCTTCGACTATACAGAAACTTAAATCCGTTACTTTTCAAAATGTCCCAAAGGTCAAGAACACCGTTAATCGTTACTTGCCAACATTTGAAACATTTTATCTTACTTGTTACGTTTTTATTAACGTTTAAAATTTGAGTACTTTTAAAAAACTTTAAACAGTCTTCTAGAAACTCTATTTGCCATTGTAAACCTTCAAATTTTTGTCCATATTTTTTCACACCAGAATGAGGAGAAGAGTTTAAAATATCAAATTATCCATTTTTTCAATAAATTCACGTGCCAATTGCCTCTGCAGATAAACGTCCAAATCTAAGATAAGTATTTAACCCTGCTGCTACAGAAAAACCAAACATTTGAGTGGCATACTTAAGTTTCATTTTTTCAAAATTACTTGGGGAAATATGTGTCAGACAATTTTGGAGCTGCTCGGATATTATATTTTTTATCACCTTCATAGAAAGTTTTAATATGATTCCAGGAAGCAACTCATCGAAAACAAAATTGTATTTTAATAAATTATTTCTCGTCGCTTTAACCAAATGTGGTGTATCAAACATGAAAACAACCTATTGTTCGTTCACAACGAAATATGGATTTTCTGGACAAATATGTAACATTTGTGCCATTTGAATGTTATTTGAATCCATATCAGATACCACAGCACATTTAAGCCTGTTTCATTTAATTTTTAATTATTCCAAAGAGAAAATCTCTTAAAATTGTTGCAGAACAATTTTATTAAATAGTAGGCAAGTGGCTGTTTCCAATAAATCGTCAAACCTTTAACCATTACAACTGTAGCAGTTAAAGCTGGTTTGAAACTACTTTCTCCAGTATCTTCTAAACCAATCACGATGTCTTTGGAAGCATTATAGAACAAATTTGCTTTTATGCTCATCTCATCAACACAAATCATGCATAATTTATCAATTTCTTGAAATACAGAACGTTTTAAATTCATTGGAATATCTACGTCCATTGGGCTTTTTCTGTATTTCCGATAATTGTACATTTATAAAAGCTGCAAGTTCTCAGGGGCAGAATTTATAAATTAATTGTTGAAACTCCTCTAAACTAATATGTTCAATATGTTTTTGTTGTGTAATATTTTCTACTTGTTTCCTTAATTAAGTGTTTTCCCGTTGCAATTGTTTAATTTTATTTCTATAACTTTGGTTTTCGTGGTGTATTTGCAGTGAGCGTACTTGGAGTTTGCGTATTTCTTGGTGAAAGTAGAACAGGGGAGACACAACATGCTGTGGGGGAGGTTTGACAACAGCTTGAAGGTGAAAGTAAATCTACAGTTGCAGATTCATCTTCGGTGTTAATGTCAATAGTTAATGGTGGCACAGTATCTAAAAAAAGAATTTAGTTTGAATCCAACACCAAATATATTGTATCATATTAATTATTTTGATAATAAAAATTGAGCTTTTTACAAAAAATTAAAACTGATTATAATACAGGGTGATTCAGTCATAATGTCATTAATTTTAAGAGCAGATAGAGAAAAATGAGTATAATACGATGGCGTGATTAAAAAAAATCAAATGCATATTTAAGCCGAAAAAAATATTTTCGAATCATTATTTAACCCCCTTTTCAGGCTGTTACTGTCCAGCTGACGTCAGTCGGTTATTCACAATTTGCGCACGGCTACGATATGAACAACGCGCCCTAGGTACAACGTTACCATATTTATATATTTTCGCTCATATAAAGACAATAAATAAACGGTTTGCTCACGTCAGCCAATATCAATTTAAAATGCTATAAATTATTTTTTTTAATTATGCAATCAACACATTAAATTGTTATTATTGCCCATCAAGAACCTCGAGGAGGTCTGAGCATGCCTTGCCAAAAATCAGATTTTATTAACATCATGTTAATTTTTTAATTTGCTGTAAGCCTTCGGGCTTATATACTATGTGTGCATATACTACATATCCCATCGCATCTGAAGGGGAAGGTTTTCCAACAATTCTACTAAAAATTCAAAGTAACGCGGCCCATTCAGATGTTCAGGTAGAAAATACGGCCCAATTAAACGATCGCCATATACTCCTGCCCATACATTGACACCGAATCTCCTCTGAAAGCTAAACCGACGAGTAGTGTGCAGGTTTTCATCTGACCAAATGTGACTATTATGGCTGCAAAGAAATTAGCTCTGTTTCACAAATAAAATTTAATATTGAAGTTACAAAACTCCAAGAGTTCAAGTAATTTGAATTTAATTTCATAACCATTTCAATTTCATTACAGAAATAATGACATAAAAAACCAACACTCACTAGATAAATTATAAAGAGAGGGTGAAATGTATGTAATATTTAAATATTGACTGAAATAGAAGATAAAAAACAATCGGACGGAGACAAATAAACAACTCGGTACGTGTTTCCGACCTAGGCTAACCTGTATATAGGTCAATAGTCTTCTAGCTGACCCACTTTTGATTTGCACGTGTACTTTAGTCTAGAACTTATTCGTAGTATTTTGAGCTCCTGATTTCAAAAAACTTGAAGCCTGAAAGTGGTCAGTTTAATTGTTATCAACAAATTAAATGTTTAAATGGCTGTAAAAAGTTTATTTTTTTAGCTAGTAAACGGAACTCTATCTGGCTCTAGACTAATACGAACTGTAGTAGGATCGTATTCCATACAAAGTAGAGCAAAAAGTTGTCGGTCTGTTTGATCGTTTTCAAATGTACAGTTATTACAATTTATCATTTTTAATATTATTAACGTTTTATAACTTAATATGTTAAATAATACATAGTTTTAGTATTTCAATTTATTATTCAATATGCAGTTGCGTATAGCCAAAGTTTACATAATAAATGAAAGCTTTAGTATAAATATAAACTTTGGTGTAACCTAGGTAGGTACTTATTGTTTTTGAGAAAGTAATATATTTTTTACCTGTTTAAAATGCCAGCACGAGTAAAACAGCATTCATCCGTCCAGCGCACTTTGTTTTAAAAATAAAAATAAAGTTACGGTCTGCTACACTTCGGTTTAAGAACCAACTGCAAAATTTAAGACGATTGGGGAAATCAGCTGGTTCTAAAGCTTGAACTTTTTGAAAATGGTACGGGTTGAGTGAATTCTCGCGCAATATCCGCCAAATTTTGGTTTGTCATATCTACAGTCGCCTTGAAATTATTCTTGTGGAAATAGTAGGCTGCTCCTCGACTAAATTTAAAACAGCCTCTATCACATTTAAGTCATTTTGTCGATGTTCTGCACGTTCGCTGCGCGGTATGGTATGATAGATGCAGTTGGAAAAATGCGGGAGATATGGAAGGTGATAGATTTGAATAAACGCTTTAAATTTTTAATGGTTTTGTAACCGTGTGTAGTGCATTTTATATATTTGGGTATTTAGTAGTGTGCCGACTTTTTTTATTTGATAAAATACGGTGTGCCTACAAACAGGTAACTACCTCTGCTTTATTTATTTTCTGTTAACGAAAGTTGACTTCGAAAAGTCAGGCTTATTGTTAAAACATTCTGCACTAAGTTAATACAATAGGGTTGTTGACTATAAAAACAAACCACATACATATTGTTGTTGAAACAATAAAGATTTTATATAAAAGAACTTGCTTGTATAGTAAAATTTTAAATATATGACAAATTAGTGGTAGAAATCATTTATGAATTTTTGCGTTACTTAAAAACTAGTCTGACGTCATAAGGGTCAATTGAACAAGAAGCTAGTAGCGATCCTATTGCATAATTTTGAAGAAGAGGAAAATATGTAAAAATTGTCTGTCAAACGTCAAACTCTGGTTTGCCGTTTTTTAAACAAAAGTGACACCAGTCTATCAATTAAATTAAGAGTATTTGTGATTGTTATTAATTATTTTTCTGATTGCAATGAATTCATCAAAATTTAAGTGGTGTTTTGTTCCACATTGTGATAACAACAGTAGAAATGCGCCAAATAAATTGTTTATAACTATACCTGCAAATGAGAGCCGTAAAACTTGCTGGTTTCAAACAATACAGCAGAGTGTACCAAACACAAAAACAAAGTATTATTGCTGTGAAGATCACTTTAATGTAAGTATTTTATTTATATACATACAAATTACAAACATCCAATGATTTTTTTTATTTGTAGCTCAAAGAAGATGCTATAAATTATATGCAATATAAATTAATGGGCGGAAGAATATTTTTGAAAGATAATGTTGTACCTCATATTTTTCCAAGTGCAAGGAATTACAAGAGACTTTTAGAAACATCTACCAATCTAAGTGAAAGTTCTCAAAAGAAACGTCAAAGAATTGACCATTCACCACTGCCTTCTACATCCACTTCTGGTGGTCCAAATTTAATGATTAATCCTAAACAGAATGTAGGAATCCAAGTAAAACCACATGTACGAAGTAAATATATTTCTTGTCATCTTACACCTAATATTACTAATACAGCCTCGTCTCCTATAAAGCAACGTCCAAATGTAAGAAAATTATCAGACAAGCTTTTTACTGAAATTAGTCATAGTCAGAGTGATATTCCAAGTACAAGCGAGGAAGAAAAAGAACCCAGTAGTTTTGAACAGACAGATATTGAACTAAAAGTACTAGAAAAGAGGAACAAACATTGACACAAAGATATATAGGTGTGCCTAAAAAGTGGTAGAATATTTTATTGGACTTGCTGTGCAAACATGGTAACTTAAAAAAGGAACATATTTTATTGTGTCTAATGAAAATAAAAACTAATGACACTTTGGCTCGTTTAGGTGATCAATTTGGAATTTCTTCAAGTACAGCTTCAAAAATCTTCAAGACGAATATAAACCCTTAGTTTATTGGCCTGATGAAAAGCTGATAAAAAAAATTTTACCGATTCCATTTAGAGCACGATATAGTTCAGTTCAATCTATAATTGACTGTCTTGAAATTGAAATAGAAAAACCATCTAATCCCATGAGACAGTCATTAACCTGGTCAGAATATACAAAGTGCAATACTTTTAAATATTTAATATCCTGTACTCCAGATGGGTTTATAAGTTTTGTGTCAAATGGTTTTGGAGGACGTATCAGTGATGTTTTACTATTAGAACAATGTAATTATTTAAATATTCTTCCCAATGACTGCAGTTATGGCTGCTAGGGGCTTTAAGCATGTTGATAACGTGATAAGAAAAAAATTGTAAACTTATAAAACCCCCTAGTATGTCCAGTTCTACAGAACCAACAAAGGCTGAAGTGATTGAAAGTAAAGGATCCCACAGACTGGCGCGAATAATTCGCCGCGGTTGCGACTAATACGCGCCGGTAAAAATCGCACTATATTGTTTACGTAGCGGCAAATGTACTCGTTCAGACTTGCACGTTTTTTTTTTCGCTTCTGCCGCGATCTTTACTGAGTTTAATATGCCGCGAATTTCATTTCGCCTTCGACTGCGTTTTGTTCGCTGCCGCTAGACATTCGTGATGGCAAAGCAAGAGAAGTTGATTGAACTTGTACGAAATTACCCAATACTATTTGATCTAGCCCATGAGGATTACAAAAATGTTCGAAAAAAAGACAAAGTATGGACCGAAATAGGAAAAGAACTCGGTGAAAGTGGTAAGTATAATTTAATTTCACTTTTATTAGAATAATTCTCATTATGATAAGTCACGAATTNTTTGAAAACTCAATAAATAGTAAAACTTTTTTATAAATTTCTAAATTCCTATTTTACCTTATCGTAATAGCGAGTCGTTCTTCGGGAGGTATAGCTTCACGAAAATTTGTATCGTATTTTCGAATATCGTCAATTATAAGATGTAAAATTTCATCAAAACACTCAATCGTCATTCGGAAGTAAATATAAAAACGCTCTTCATCTTTTCGTAGTTCTGGCATGAGGGTATGAAATTCTCCGTGTTTCTGTCTTTCTAGGTTAATATCATGAACCCATTTTCTTTTTTTCCTAAAAAATCAATGCGACTAAAAAATGTACTACAATGGTTTGTTCTCCCTTTTTTAGTCTTAAGGAAGAGGTAAAAAATTGCATTGTGAATAATAAAATAATACAAACTACACCTGGTATTTTCTTCAATTTTTATTGCCAGTAGAGTTAGTGCTTCTTCTTCATCCGAAGATTCGTACATCGTAAGGTTTCTTGAGTAAATGCGTTTGTTTATATTAAAAAGTAAAACTTCTTCACGAAAAACTCGCTACGATTGTGACGCGTCAGTGTGAATAGCTAAGCGAACTTCGCTACCGCCGTTGACGCGAAATTTCCGTTACCACTGCGATGCCGCTGCAATTGAGAATTATTCGCGCCAGTTTGTGGGATCCTTAAACGTATTGCAAGTTTAAGGATTCATGTAGAATAATTAATACGGAGATTACGAGAATTTGCTTTTTTAAAACCTCATTCAGTAATAAACCATCAATTGTTGCCTTACACTGATATTGTAATTTATATTGCTTGTGTCCTAATAAATTTGTAATGGCCTGTAATAAGTATGTAATCAATAAGTAAAATAACCAGTGTTAGGTTTTACACAGCTCTTTTTACATTTTATACGTAAAAACATAAAAATTGTACTAAGGCAAAATTAAAAATAAGGTTTTGTTTATGAAAATCCTAGTCGTTTATGACGTGTTGAAAATTTAATTTTTAACATTTGTTTACATTTTATATATTTTTTATTTGTTGGTATTTGTATGTACGTATTCATATTATGTACCTAGTATTTTTCAGTGTACTAAGTTACACATTAATTAGTTAATTCAATTTTGGTAATTTTTAATAAATGTTTAAAACAGTACTATTATATAACTTTATTGAATTTTATTACAAAAAAAATTGTTTTACTAAAACTAAAGAAATAAATTGAAAGAAGATATTGATATTGCATTTTATGGTCATTTATGTTCACAAAACTAGTGAGATTCTTTAAATAACGGAATTTTTACATAGGAAATTGGAATTTGTTAATTTTTTTCTCAAAAATGGTTGGGTTTAGCATCCATGGCATATGTTTTTTTTTATTTAGGTGTATACTATCGCCTGTTAACATTATGGCACAGTCAACTCTCTAACACCCTGATTATTTTATACACTATTATATAGCTTATCATATATAAAGTTTTTCCAAACATTTTCTGATTTAGTAATATATTCAGACATAGTCTTTATCAAAATTTACCCATAGAAAATTTATTTTCTTAGAAGTCTCAAAATCTGGCTGTGCAATACAAAAAAGTCCTTTTTGTTTTTGAGCAGTAAACATCTGTAGATGTACTTGAGCTTTGTACTTATTTGCGATTAAACCATCTTTTATATAGTTTGATAAAGCCTTTACACTATTTGGGCATTTTATTTCGACCACAAAATCATCCGCTATAGCATCAGGTGATGCTCCAAAAATTGGATATTCCCGTTTCAAAATAATGCCACATGGTTTTAATTTTATTTTCAATTCCTCTTCCACACGTCTTAAAACTTCTTTTTCTAATTTAATTCCTCGTTTCATAGCTCTTGTCTCCCTTATTTTATGGGCTCCTATTATGGTTTCGACTAATGTTCCATCCGATGTTTTGCAATTACCTGCTTCATAAATTTTTGATGCAGTTATCCTGCCATACCTTAATTCGTACCATAATGAAGATTTGCTTTGTCCTTTTGTAGCATCTTCAGCAATTTTTACTACATTATCATTCATTTCACTCGACATAAATTGCACAAAATCTCTATAATGTACTCCCCCACTATTTTTAAACATTAGTAATAATTTATGAATTGATAGTCTATTAAATTGATCTGCCTCTATTTCAAAATTATATTTTAAAATTTTGCTGTAAATCTGTTCACTCTTTGCCTTCTCTATAAGGTCATTAAAAAACAGCTGATTATTGGGATATGTTGTAACCGCAACCGAACTTTTTGCTGACCAAAACTCACTGACAGCAACAAATTTTGTTGTAGAGCCTATACCTGCCATACGTGGTTTCTGCCAGTAAGAAGCAATTTCTGTGGGGGCAGGGTCTTCGCTCCTTCGATGATCCCACATTAGAAAAGCTAAAGCATGTGTACATCCACCTGTAATTATTATTTTATTAACTATATTAAAATTGTAAAAATTTAATTATTTTAAATATTATCAACAGTAAAAAATTACCTGCAGCTGCAGCACAATTGTGACATTTAATGTCAATAACCTTGTCTTCTCCTTCAACAACCTCAATAGTAACAGAATAAGCTTTGCTACGTAAATTTGTGTTCAGGGCAAATTTTTCCTTTAAACATATTGGGTTTTCCCTTTTCACCTGTACATAGCCAATTGCATTATCTCCATAAGACTCCCAAACAGCACTATAACTTTTCATAAATAAATAAGTATTATAAATAAATAAACACAATAAAATCATTCATTAAATATGTTGATCCTTACGTAACTGCTTTTGTACCTCTGATTTCGCCAATATTAAAACGGTCGTTTCTTTTTAAAAATTCACTGATCATAAATATATCAATTTTCGGTAAAATTTGCGAAGTAGCTTTTGCAAATCCCGTTTCATACATTCTGATTTAATTGAACTTGAAAATATTTTCTGGAAGTCACTGTCACTGACACTACTGACAGTGTTGACAGAATGTCTTCTTCTTCCAAGTTTTTCCTTTTCGCAATCATTTACACATAATTTCACTAAAAGGTGCCCCTTATGACGTCACAGCCGTTTTGAAATATAAAANTTCCTTTTCGCAATCATTTACACATAATTTCACTAAAAGGTGCCCCTTATGACGTCACAGCCGTTTTGAAATATAAAAAAAAAATCAGTTTTAAATAATTATTTTAAAACTGTTCTGACGCATTTCTCAATCAATTTGTGCATACACACTAGTTAGTACGTGTAGAATTACATGATCTACTTTTTGAAATTTGGTCAACAATCCTATTGTTAAAATTATTTATAATAAAATGCAGCATGCTCCTTTATTTACTTGAATACGTTTAACGCGGGACCCACAGTAAACGTGAACCACACATTATGATGTGAAATTGGCAACGCTGTTCGCTTCAGCCGACAACTATTCGTGACATTACATTATAAAATTTTCCGAGCATCCGGGCATCTGCCCACCCTCGTAGTGGGAGTTATGGGTTGATTTCCTTCATTTTTAAAAGTCGAGTAAAAAATGTTTTTTTTTCGATTTTCTGTCTTTATTAAGCCTTCCGAATACGTGGTTAAAATTAATGACATTATGACTGAATCACTCTGTATAATAGTTTTTCATAAAAATAAGCAAATTTATTGTAAATACTAATAAGCCACAAAAGTTTTTAGAGATAACAAATTTCTTACTTAAATTAAATAAATCTAAGTATCAATTCGTCATTATTCCATGGCTAGAAATTGGCCTCAATGATTTGGGATCGAGGGGGATTATTCCTCTTTATCCTGCCTCATCTCGTGTAGGCCTGGACAGCCTTCGTAGGTGGGCCCCATCCGTCTACCCCGACCGCAAATGCGGCCGGTGCAGGCACTTTGTGGGTAGTATCAATTGCAATATGTACAGCCGTAATTGTGGATTTTACGACTTTTTTTTTAAGTGGAAAGATAAAAAATATTAGCATTCAAAAATTTAATTTGCCTTATTTTATAGGGTATATAACAATTAAGCTGTTAAGATTTAAAGAAGCAAAATAACATATTTCGTTGTTTTCAATAACATACTGGTTCACTGCAAAATATTCCTCCTCCTATATGTCCAGTGGCGGCAATAAGAGTTTGGGCCTCCACAGCAAAATTAATTCATATTCATATATGTATATGAAGCTACATTACAGGTACATATTTAAATTTAACGAACTGATTAATAAAATTCCTCCAAAACTCCTTAGACCAACTTGAAACCTGGTGCAACAGGTGGAAAGTCAAAATTAATCCCAACAAAAGTTCGGCTATCCTTTTTACCAAACGAAAAATCCCACAAAACCTCGACAGACTGACACTATCCCAGGAACCTATCTCCTGGAATCGACAAACACGATACCTGGGCGTGACGATGGACCAGCGTCTCACGTGGAAACCGCACATCGTGGAGACGGTGGCGCGAGCGAAGACCACCAGGGCTAGGCTCTATCCCTTACTCAAAGGTGGAAACACCCTCAGTTTAAGGAATAAGCGAACGCTTATCAAGGTGGTACTTCAACCGCAGCTAACCTACGCCTCCACGGCGTGGGGTCACGCGGCAAAAAGCCACTTAAAGTCATTACAGGCTGTGGAAAACATAGCCCTCCGCACGGCCACCGACGCGCCCTGGTACGTAAGAAACACTGACATATTACGAGACTTACAATACACAAACGCTACACAGACAATAAGACAAAACGCGGAGAAACGATTTGACGTAGCCGCTAGACATGACAATCCCCTCCTCAGGCAAGCCGTTGACTACGTACCCGACGTGACCGACAAACACAAAAGACCTAGACACCAACTTTTTGACCCTGGGTGACCACCCCAATGTCCCCCCCCCCTGCCCGCTAACCTTTTCTGTTTCAGAGACAGCCAGGATCAAGAAACGAAGACAACGACACACACACACACACACATACACACCCCCCATACCCTCCTTACCCCTCCCCTCCCGCGCTAACCTAAGGGCCACCTTAGCAAAGCGCGTCCCAAGCTGCATAGCCGCACTACCCTACCCAACCATACCACACATAAACATGACACTACCCCCGGGGTTTACACAGACGAGCCGGCGAAGCAAGAAGAGCGCCAGAAGATAGGGCCCTAGCCGGCGGGGCCCAGCCAGGACAAAAGGAGGTCCCACAAAGTGCCTGCACCGGCCGCATTTGCGGTCGGGGTAGACGGATGGGGCCCACCTACGAAGGCTGTCCAGGCCTACACGAGATGAGGCAGGATAAAGAGGGATAATCCCCCTCGATCCCAAATCATTGAGGCCAATTTCTAGCCATAGAATAATGGCGCGATTAATAAAATTGATACAAAATCTTACCTACCAGTAGAACTGGTATTTGAAACTAAGTTAATAGTATAAACAAAATATTTGTCTTTCCAGTTATTTGTTTCGTATAATCGTTCTGAAGTATGATAATAATTTGGGGGGCCCCTTACGAGGCCTGCCCCACCTCACGCATCGCGGAGTCTACGGGGCCCTTAACGCCGCCACTGCCTATGTAATTTTTCGCGGTAGCGTAAAGTATTTTTATTTTCAATATGTCGGAACGTCACAGGATATCTTTTATCTATGGTCACAGGCGTTATATGTTAGCAGCTAAAATCTTATATGGTGGTCTATGGGTAATAATAGTAATAAAACAAGTTGTAGCTCACACTAAATTTGAAGCTAATTAACTGTGCAAGTAAAAAAATATGTTTCCCAATTTCGACATAAAAGACAAATTTATCACATAAAATAAAGAAAGATATACACATCACGGAAAGAGAAGAAAACTATTAAAGATAGTTATGACTCGCCGCCATTATTCTATGGCTAGAAATTGGCCTCAATGATTTGGGATCGAGGGGGATTATCCCTCTTTATCCTGCCTCATCTCGTGTAGGC